CCTATCCCACTTTGACTGGCATCATACTCTACTAACTGACGGCATGAACACCACTTGGAACTATTTTCATAATAGTTTCATTTATTTTGTGACTAAACATGCTCCTTTTCGTTAGTTCAGAATAAAGGGACAAGACAGCCCCTGGTTGACTCCAGAGCTAGCTGACCTCCTACACAGGAGAGAACATCTTTGGGCCGCAGCGAGAAAATCTGACTCAGACACTGATTGGTTGAGTTTTCGGCAGATGAGAAATAAATGCACAACTGCCATCAAAGCTGCCAAACGTAACTATTTCTTATCTCAGACCTCCAAAATCTAAATGACCTTAAAAGATTGTGGAAAACCAACAAATCTCTCTCAGGAAGCTCTCAATCATCTGACCTCCCATCACAACTTCTCGTTAACTCTGTTCCTGTGTCAAATAAGCACGAGATCCTGAACTGTTTCAACAAACATTTTGTTGCTTCTAGTTCTTTATTTGACACAGATACTAATGGAAAAAATTCAATTCAATTCAATTCAGTTTATTTATATAGCGCCAAATCACAACAAAGATGTCTCAGGGCACTTTACAGAAACATTCACATACATAAAAGCCAATTAGTAGTTCTCCATCTAAGGAATCCAGCAGACAAGATGAATCTTGGCTTTGATGCAGTCTCCCATCCTGAGCAAGCACAGTGGCAACAGTGGAAAGGAAAAACACCCTTTTAAAAGGAAGAAACCTCCAGCAGAACCAGGCTCAGGACAAGCGGTCATCTGCTTTGACTGGCTGGTTGAGAGGACAGGGAGGAGAGACAGACGAACACAGAATGGTAGGTCCAGGTATAGGTCCAGGTGTATCTGAAAGAAAAAAAACACATGTTAAGGATAGAAAAAATAATTACAAATACAAAACAGGTTGAGCAGAGTAAGTAAAGACAGAAGTAGAGTGAAAATTGTGGTCAGTTTGTCGTCCAGCAGTTTAAGCCTATAGCAGCATAACTAAGGGACAGCTCAGGAAACCCAAGCCGACCCTAACTATAGAATTTAGCAAAAAGGAAAGTCTTAAGCCTAGTTTTAAAACTGGATAATGTGTCAGCCTCACGGACAGAGATTGGCAGTTGGTTCCACAAGAGAGGAGCCTGATAACTGAAAGATCTTCCTCCCATTCTGTTTTTGTAAATTCTAGGAACCATAAGTAAACCTGCAGTCTGAGAGCGAAGCACTCTGTTAGGAAAATATGGAACAATAAGATCTGTAATATAAGATGGAGCCAGGTTGTTGAGAGCTTTGTAGGTTAGAAGTAAGATTTTGAAATCTATTCTGGATTTGACAGGGAGGGAAAATCAGCCACTTCACTTAACCAAACTTTGGCAAATCAAATCTCTCCTATAAGTCAATCCTCAGTTAAACAGCTTCTCTTTTTCTCCGTTCTCAGAGAGGTAAATAAACTGTTAAAAGATCTTGATCCTAAAAAATCTGCAGGACCAGATGAACTTCCACCTTATTTCTTAAGGCTGGCTGCTCATATCATCGCAGTTCCTGTGACCCACATCTTCAATATCTCTATAAGCCAAAACTCCATTCCAGATGCTTGGAAAACAGCCTTTGCTGTTTGGAGGTGACCCCACCTCAATGAACAACTATCGGCCAATCTCTAAACTCTGCATTTTAGCCAAGGTTCTAGAAAAACTGATAAACTCTCAAATCAAAAATTACCTGGACTCATTTAACATCTTACCTCAACTTCAATCTGGTTTCAGGAAACAACACAGCACAACCACTGCTTCACTGAAGGTTCATAATGACGCTGTTGAAGCATTGGATGCTAAGGATTATTGTGCTGCACTTTTCTTAGACCTGTCTAACACTTTTGACACTGTGGATCATAACATCTTGTGTCATAAGCTCTCAGAAACTGGTTTCTCAGATCACACCATTGGTTTGTTCTCTAACTATCTCTCAGATCGGAAGCAATGTGTTCAACATAATGGTACTTCCTCCAGCTATTTAACAGTCAACAATAGTGTACCACAAGGCTCAGTCTTAGGACCCACCCTCTTTACAATCTACATAGGTAATGTAGGTCATAGCATCGCTAATGGATCCTTACATTTTTATGCGGATGACACAATTGTTTATTGTCGTGCTAAAACAGTTGATAAGGCTTTCCAGCTTTTGCAATATGCATTTGACATCATCCAGTCAGATTTGTTCCGCCTCAAACTTGTCTTAAATGCCAATAAAACCAAAGGGATGCTGTTTTCCAAACAGGAAGTCGGTCCCAGCAGTTCTTCCTCTGATTTTATCCTCAAATGATGTCCCCACTGAGTTTGTTGATTTCTATAAATATTTGGGTATCTTGGTCGACTCACATCTCTCTTTTAAGCTCCACGTGGAAAACCTAGGCCCTATTTACACAGACACGATGGGGGGGGGGGGGGGACGTAGGTTTTTTTCGTATGTTAATTATAGGAAAAGATTTGCGTTGACATGGTCGCATTTTGGGTTTACACGCATCCGGAGGATTCCCCCCCACCCTCCCGAATCCGCTGTAGTTACTATGCCGGGTCATTAGATGGAGCTGTGAATTTTGTACCTTCACCTAATGTGCATGCGTGTTGCCTCGGCATGCTGTTTTCCTCTGGGCTAACCAGCTAACAACAACGTAACCTAACAACAAGTTAAAGCTGGATTCTGGCTGGATTTTGGATGAGAGTCGACAGATTTGACGCCAAGCGGGATCGCTTCATCTAACAGCTCTACACCGGTCGCTGAGTGGACCAGAACCGAGTCGACGATGTCGGACTTTACTCCGTGATAATCAGTAGCTGTTTTACTGCAGGTAAATCAACGTTCTTAATAATGTTAGTTTGTGTTTACTTTGGTTACAAAACAACCAACTGACTTTTTATTTTTCCTGAAAGAAGAAGGAGCTGTCCTCCCACCAGGCGGACCGGTTCTGAATGAGGCTCGGCCCAGATGAACTGTAGGAGGACGTCGAAGAGAGATGTGGATGAACTATTTATTTAAAATTCCCCTCATTTCTTTTATTCATTCCATTCAAGTTCAGTTAATGTGTTTTAATAGTGTGTTCAGTTTAATTATCAGTGTTTATGTGACATACAGTTTGTGGTGTTGAATAAATAAATAAAAATTAAACCTGATGTCTTCATTTTCAACTTTAGTGTTCACGCTATATGTTTAGCATCATTTTGAATTTGAATTACATAATGGCCAGATAGCTTCATTTAGCTCAGAGCTTCATTATATCTCGCACACTAACATAAATACTGTTTATTATTATTAAACTTATTATTTAGCACATTTAGATGTTATAGTGCAGCGTGACGTGTGCAAGTGCCTCGTTCTATAAAGAGCGATATTAGAACTGGATCAGATTGTGTCTCTTCCAACACAGATGTTGGTCACAGCACCTGGAATCTAACGTAGATTAACTATGAGATTAAAAATATATTCCATCAGTCGTAGTTCAGAAAGCAGTGTGTCTGCCGCCATGTTGATAGAAATATAGCGTTGGTCCGCGCGTGCATGTGCGCATGTGGTTTAACACAAAGCCTCAGCGGGAGATGTTTACATTATCAGCGGGGGGTCAGCGAAAAACCTCCACTCTGGAAGGTGGGTTCAGAAACCTCCGGATTCAAAGAGGGGGCCACTGGTGTCGTGTAAATGATCAGCAGAACCGCAGAGAGAAACCTGCGGATGCACTCAAAATATATGCCGTGTAAACGGCCCCCTAGTAAAGAAAATGAAAGTTAAACTGGGTTTCTTTTTCAGAAACAGATCCCGTCTCACTCTGAATGCTAGGAAACTCCTTGTATCTGTGACTTTCCTTCCCTCCATTGATTACGGTGAAATTATTTACATGAACGCTCCTACAAGAACCCTGCAGATGTTGGATGCTGTCTATCATGGTGCACTAAGATTCATAACTGGCTGTGATTATCGTACCCACCACTGCACCCTGTATTCACTGATTAACTGGGCATCATTAACTTCATGTAGACTCTCTCACTGGTACATTTTCATCTTTAAATTACTTCTTGGTCTGTTGTCTTCATACATCTCCTCCTACATTTCTCTGCGTGAGTGCAGCTACAGCGTGCGCTCTCAGGACATTGTTACCTGCAGTGTTCCCTCAGTGTGGACTGAACTTGGCAAAAGGTCCTTCTCCTACTCTGCTCCTGTTTCCTGGAATATCATATATTTATATAATATAAAATATTATATAATATAAAATTATATAATATAAAATAATATTTATATAATATAAAAAAGACCTGAAACTCTCGACCCTGACCTCTCTAATTGACTTTAAGAATCTGTTGGACTCCTGGCAAGGACCAATGCAGACATGTTCTTGTTTTTAGTTTTCTACATTCGCCTTATAATCTAGCTGTTTTTGTTACTTTTTTGGCCATCATATGTATTTAAAAAAATTGTATGCCATTTTATAACTGTCTACTGTTGTCCATGTTGTCATCATTCTTTGTTGAAATCAGGTCTCTCTTGTTCATGAGTCCTCGAGGCTCAGTGGGATTAACCTGTCTAAATAAAGGTTGAATGAAAAAAAAGCAATAACGGCAGCATTTCATAGAAGCTGCAGCCCTGGTACACTTCTGTCTACCCTTCAGAGTGCTGTACGGAATGTAATTTTGCTGTATTTAACTGTACAACGACAATAAAGCTGGTTCTGATTCTAACAGACAACGTTGACTTCAAATACTGCACTTAATGACAAAGTTTTAAAGAAAGATCTTGCACAATCTGTGTTCAAAATATCTGTTAGAGATCAGTCTCAGCTACTACCACTCCAAACGTAGCTCAATCTCTGTAAATTAAATTATAGCGATTTTGTGTGTTGTTGTTTTATTTTTTTAATTTAACTCCTAATTAGCTGATAAATCAGACAAGTGTTTATCTGAAAGCAACATTCTGCTAAAGTTGAAACTGATTCCATTATTTTTTTATTTTTTTGGACCACCCAGCTCCACTGGATGCTCCTGCTGGATGGATCTGGTTTAATGTCAGAAGCCTGAACCCGTCCATGCTGGGTGCAGAATTGGTTCTGTTCAGGAAGACCCTCCACCCACGTCCCCTCAGTGTTACCGTCACCCTGCACGGCGTCATCACTCCACAGGACCCTCTGGATGATAGCCCCACCCTCCAGGAGAGGCAACTGATGCTGGATCAGCGGCCCTCCTCCGGGTATGACGTGTTCGACGTATCCAAGATACTGGTTGCGAGGCCTCTGGAGGTGGTGGGCTTTCAGCTGCACTACACAGATGAGAACGGGAGTCTGGTCCTCCATGAGGCATTAACCCAGAGTCTGTACTGCCTGGACAGCAGCTGTCTGAGGGAGCCGCTGCTGGTGCTCTACCAGGACCGTCCTCCTCAGCTCTGACTCTGTCATCACCACCAAGGGCGATAATGTTTCTGCTCGTGTGTGTGCGTGTGTGTTTGACTGAATTTTAATGAAACTTACAAAAAGTAAACATTGGATTGACAACTGACTCAACTTCATTCAAGATGGCTGCCACAGCAACGTGACCCTTGCAACACACAACAACGATTTAAACTCAGTCAGTTTGACAGATGGTGAGAGAAAACGGGGTGTGGTAGTAAATGGACTGTACTTATATAGCCCCTTTCTGTCGAATTAAGATATTCAAAGCTCTTTACAACACAATCTGTGCCTCATTTACCTCCAACACACATTCATAAAGCACTCTAATACAGCTCTACAACAGAGGCGTGGAACATGGCCCACTCAGACTCAATGTCCCCCGCCTCCCCCGGAACGTGTTCAAAGCTGTCCCGGAGGTGGGATTTAAAGCGCCGTCTCACGGGAGACTCTGCCAGATGTTCCCAGCAGACCCTCACAATACGTTTGGGTTTGCCAGGTCTGACCAGCATCCTCCCCCACCATTGGAGTCAACTCACCACAAGGTAGTGGTCAGTGGACAGCTCCACCCCTCTCTTGATCCGAGTGTCCAAGATATGTGTTCGCAGATCAGATGAGCCGACAAAAAAGTCGATCATCGAACTGCAGCCTAAGGTGTCTTGGTGCCAAGAGCACATATGGACACCCTTATGCTTGAACATGGTGTTTGTTATGGACAATCCATGACAAGCACAGAAGTCCAATAACAGAACATTGCTTGGGTTCAGATCAGGGAGGGCGTTCTTCCCACCCACACCCCTCCAGGTCTCACTGTCATTGCCCACGTGAGCGTTGAAGTCCTCCAGTACAACAAGGGAGTCCCCAGGAGACGCACTCTCTAGTACCCCCTCCAAGGACTCCAAAAAGGGTGGGTAATCTGAGCTGCTGTTTGGTGCATAAGCACAAACAACAGTCAGAACCCGTCCCCCAATACGTAGGCAGAGGGAGGCCACCCTCTCGTTCACCGGGGTGAACCCCAATGTACAGGCACCAAGATGGGGGCAACAATTATGCCCACTCTTGCTCGGCGCCTCTCACCAGGGGCAACTCCAGAGTGGAAGAGTGTCCAACCCCTCTCCAGGAAACTGGTTCCAGAGCCAGAGCCATGCGTAGAGGTGAGTCAGACTATTTCTAGCTGGAACCTCTCAACCTCACACACAAGCTCAGGCTCCTTCTCCAGCAGAGAGGTGACATTCCACGTCCCAATAGCCAGCTTCTGTAACCAAGGGTCACTGCCAGGGTCCCCGCCTTCGGCCACCACCCATCCCACATTGCACCCAACCCCTTTGGCCCCTCCCACAGGTGGTGAGCCCATGGGAAGGGGGACCCACGTCTCCTCTTCGGGTTGTGGGCTTCTTTAATATATATATATATATATTGTCTTGAGTTCAGTTTGACTTTCCTCAGATTTTTAAAGTTGTTTTGTGGACCTACCATTCTGTGTTCGTTTGTCTCTCCTTCCTGTCCTCTCAAACCAGCCGGTCAAAGCAGATGGCTGCTTGTCCTGAGCCTGGTTCTGCTGGAGGTTTCTTCCTTTTAAAAGGGAGTTTTTTCTTTCCACTGTCTCCTTTGTGCTTGCTCAGGATGGGAGACTGCAACGAAGCCAAGATTCAACTTGTCTGCTGCTTCCTTAGATAGAAAACTTTACTAATTGGCTTTTCTGTGTATGTGAATGTTCCTGTTCAGTGCCCTGAGACAACTTTGTTGTGATTTGGCGCTTTATAAATAAACTGAATTGAATTGTTTCTTTATTTGAGTTTGTTTTTAATCTATTCAAGTTTGTGTCATTTTCTGAATCTATTTTTACTGTTGGTTGTTTAAACCAGCTTCGAACAGTGTCAGCTCCTGAGCAAAAATATTAGTTGGTCAGACGTTAACTTCCAGAAAATGGTTACAAATCGTTACATTTCCTCTGGGAAAAAAAAGAGAGAGATATGCTACTTAATGTTTATTTTATAGTTTTTGTTTTTGTTTATGCATCTACAAAGGGAGTGGTGGCGCAGAGGTTAGAGAAGGTGGGCCTGTGATCGGAAGGGCGATGTTTAAGTTTCAATTTTGTTTAATGAAGTAAAATGGTTCACAAAAATAGTCAGAATCCTGACGTAAGAAACTACACACAAAAAAAAAAAAAAAAACTAGCAACCAACAAAATGGCAGCCAACAAGCCTGGAGCTTCCGCCTCCAGATCTTTTAAAGTTTTGCCGTCAGCTCTGTAAAAAGGACCGGTTAGCTGAGCGGACATCTCTTTCATAAAATAACAGACGTAACGCTGTGAAAGATGAGCAGTGGGAGAACTGCTTGTGAAGCTTATCTCTTTCAGTTCGTCTTGTTTTTTTTTTCTTATGACGCACTCAGGTTTGTTTTCAGTGATTTGTTACAGGCAGGAAGGTTCTGCCCATCAAAGATTCACAATCTGAGGTTTGTTGTTCTGTAGCTGAAATATCAGTTTTGTTTTGATGCAAAAAGTAGAAACTTGTTGGCAAGTGAAATATAATTTTATCAGATAATATATTAACTTAATGAAATATCTAGATATATGTATCCCGTTTTGTTATTTAGAATGATATTGTGTTAAAACACGATCTGATTCAGTTTCCGGTAGAAAATGTAGTTTTAGTTACATGCCTACAATTCCCAACATTCACGCACGCACCATTATAGAACACAAGATGGCGAGATATTATTGGTTGAGAGCTGGGTCACATGATAGAGTAGGGCTTCCCATTCATCCAAGTAGGTATCTCCAAGTAGGTATCTCTGCAGGCAAATTCGGAAGGCGTATCTGGGCGATCATATCTGATTGGACTATAGGAAAGTGGGCGTATCTAGACGGTCATATCTGATTGGACTATATGAAAATGGGCGTGTCTGGTCGGCCGGATCTGATTGGACGATAGAAAAATGGGCATGTCTGGTCGGCCACATCTGATTGGACGATAGAAAAAAAGGCTGAACGATAAAATGCCGTAACCACAGACATATGATGTCTAAAAACAAGGCGTTATTGGCAGATTGTGTTAACCACAGGCATATTATGTCTATGGTGTTAACCGGTTCGACATTAGCGGCGTCTCAGGTTCAACACTGGCGGCGTCTCGGTTCTACATTGCTCCAGTATACTGCCGCGGCGTCTCCATAACTTCTTTTTTTGCGTCTCTTAACACAGAACTTCCGGTTACATTTCAAAATAAGAGCAGCATAACTGGGTATTGGGGAGAGCTAAATGTTAGGGTTTTTTTATACCTAGCCATAACATTAAAAAACAAATTCCATTTTGGTTGTTGAAAAATGTGAAAAAAGTTACAATCGATTCATAAAGAAAGAAAAATATTAATGATACTTAAACTGGCCTTGGGACAAAGAATGTTTCCTTTAACTTCACATTTTCTTGTTCAACTTGCAGTCACTGCAGATGAGTGATTTGTCAGTTTCTGTCAGATTTCTGCAACTGGAGCAGGTATTTCCGTTTACTGGTTAACTTCCTCAGCTGTCTCACATTTTAAAGGTCAACCCTACTCCATGTTTCAGTAGAAAACAAGCACATTTAGGAGCCAGTACATAACCAGACTTTTGGCCTTCACACCTATACCCAGTTGCTTATGCTGCATGATGAGATCAGATTTATCCATATTTTAGAAATTAAATTTAGCTTAGTCGACAAAACAATACAAATGAAGACTGTCTGTCTTAAAAAAAACTCTTGGTTTTGCAGTAAGCAGCCTGATTTCAAACTGACATCTTGGCCAAAGGTAAAATAAAAACCTTTGTGTTCTCAGAAAAGTTGTTTCAGGATCTCCAATAAACTTATGTACACATCAAAAGCACACAAGACAGATTCAGGAATTCTCTTTGTTTTCTAGATTTTACATTTGTTATTACCTTAAACATACTCAGACAACATTTGATGCATCATTGAATTTTTTTTATTGTGTTTATTGGGACATCCATTTTTAGAAGTCATCGTAGCATCTGTTGGAAACACAGAACATAGTACAGTTAGGGTGTTGCTAGTTGTTACTTATTGTAATGTGTGGGAATCACAGTACAAAAGCTGGACTACTAACCCTGCATCCATGGCACAAAAGTGGGTGCAGTACCCAGGAGTAATGGCTTCACTGTAGAAGGCCCTCAGCTCTCCTCTTTTGCCACTGCCCCAGAAACCTGCACCACAATCTTTAAATTCTTCTCCACAGACAGAAATTACATAAGGCTTTCTGTGCTGAGCCTGAAATTCTTCAGAATATTTCCTCCAGTTCACAACTAATTAACTCAAAACACCTGCAAAGGCCTTTAAATGGTCTCTCAGTCTAGTTTTGTAGGCTACACAATCATGGGGAAGACTGCTGACTTGACAGTTGTCCAGAAGATGACTACTGACACCTTGCACAAGGGGGGCAAGACACAAAAGGTCATTGCTAAAGAGGCTGGCTTTTCACAGAGCTCTGTGTCCAAGCACATTAATAGAGAGGCAAAGGAAAAGATGTGGTAGAAAAAAAGTGTACAAGCAATAGGGATAACCACACCCTGAAGAGGATTGTGAAACAAAATCAATTCCAAAATGTGGGGGAGATTCACAGAGTGGACTACAGCTAGAGTCAATGCTTCAAGAACCACAACACACAGACATATGCAAGACAAGGGTTTCAACTGTTGCATTCCTTTTGTCAAGCCACTCTTGAACAGCAGAGACAGCATCAGAAGCATCTTGCCAGGGCTAAAGACAAAAGGGACTGGACTGCTGCTGAATGGTCTGAAGTTATGTTCTTTGATGAAAGTAAATTTTGCATTTCCTTTGGAAATCAAGGTCCCAGAGTCTGTAGGAAGAGAGAAGAGACACAGAATCCATGTTGCTTGAGGTCCAGTGTCAAGTTTCCACAGTCGGTGATGGTTTGGGATGCCATGTCATCTGCTGGTGTTGGTCCACTGTGTTTTCTGAGGTCCAAGGTCAACGCAGCCGTCTACCAGGAAGTTTTAGAGCACTTTGTGCTTCCTGCTGCTGACCA